AGGGGCTCCTGGCCATACTACTAGGAGCAAGGGCGCTATTAGGGGCTGGTTTAGACTTTCTCTCTTTTCTTCGCATTTCCTCCGCTTTGCCCCTCCGGCTCCGCTGCCTGTGGAGATGTCCAGCCCTGGAAGCTCCCCGGGCCCCGCGCGCCGCCGCACGGGGGAGGAGCTGCGTTGAGGGGCCGTGCCCTGCACGCAGCAAAAACAGAAACAGTATCACTGTTGTTGGTCCAGGTGGAAAGAATTGGAATGTGTTTTTCTCAATATGAGATGAGATTTGCCTAGATGACTCTTTGGCAATCACCTGCATCTCTCACTTTCTTCCCCAGCCAAACACTTGAGTCCGAGCCAAATATCTGTCTTTGTGCCTTACGTGTTTCTTAAAGGTGAATTCCTTGCAAAAAGACCTGCAAATGAACTGACTTACTGACTTGAGGGTAGTTGAGGGAGCCCCAGCCGACTGCCCACCGACCGACCCCGTTCAGCCCAAAGAGGCACCGAAGCATCTGGCCGTGGAAGGCAGGGCAGCACCCACGATGCCGACGCGTCTGATTGGCACCAGGCTACCGCTACACACCTCGAAGAATACATCAAAAGTTAAAACTTTGGATGTTAAGACAGTTTGGATGCACCATGGATATCCTTCATAGTTTGGATGCTAACAAAGTGAAGCTCTATGGTTTGCTTTTGACTTGTCCTGTCCTTCACACTCACATGATGGAAATACCAAGCGGCAAGAGCGCGCCAGACCGCAACCGCCGTGCGTTGGGAGACATGAGACCCTTGTCACTGTCGCGCTGAAGGGAGGCTTGCCCCCAAATTCAGATCTGATTGATGCGAAATTGATGATAAAGGTGAGGCGCACCTGACAAGGAAAGGGAAACCTGAGTCTGTGATTTTGATAAATTGCTGAAGTCAAGATTGCTCAGCTGAAGGCTATAAGTAAGGCGAGGGCATTCTTGTATAGCTTTGACAGGGCTTGAGCTCCTGGACCCTTACCCCAAACCCATGCTTGTTTCAGGCCAACGACTGTTATGCAATTTTCAAGAAGCTGCCAGCAAGGTTGAGGCCGATGAGAACGGCCAACCAAGATTGGTGGCGAAGCACGAAATGGACTGGACAGCAGTCAAATCAGTCAAACAGGATGCCTCCATTTGGTTTCTGCATTCTGGCGGCTTACCTCGTGTTAGGTGCACTAAACTCATTTACACCCCGCACTGTAAACTTTTGGCGAACCCTTTCCTCTCTTGTTTAGTAGCTCCTAGTACCTGGCCGTGACTCAAGCAGCACAGAGTCGTCCCTTGTACAACGAAGCTACTAGTAACAAGTGCATCGCTTCTAGTAACAAGTGCCTTACTAGTAGTAACAAGAAGCTACTAGTATTGTCTAGCTCCACAAACCCACAACCGGTAGGGCACGTCTTTTTGGTCTCGACTAACTCCACCAGGTGCGGCGCCTGAACGGCTGCGGTGCCCGGTGGACCAGGAGCCCCTAGCTTCTTGCTACTAGTAGCTAATGCCCTTGTTACCCTTAGCGATGCCCTTGTTACTAGTAGCTTCTTGCTTATTTAAGATGCAGCAACACACCACCACATCGTACTGACAGATGTCTATGCAAAGAATAAGGGTGCAACAAGTTCACATTACCTGCGAGCCACCCTGGTTGGTGCTTTTGCAGGGTGAGCACGTTTGAAAGGGGTATCCATCAATCTCAAAACCAATCAGGCTTCTGGGTGCTCTGCTTTTACCGACCTAGAAGGGATCCCAACAAGAACCTATGCATCCTTTACAAACTGTGCTTCTTCCACTTCCATGTGTCCTCAACCACCTGAGGTGATCCAGTTTGGGATTAACCCCGGCAGCCTGCCGTGTCCCCATCTTTCCCTCCCGGCATCCTAGCCCTCCTAGCCTCTTGCTTGGCACGGGGTCCGAGGGCGCGCCTGAGAGGCTCAGGAAAAAGACCCAGCAAGGCGGCTCAATGGCCAATTGAGGTGAAGAAATCAAAAGCTTGCGCCATGCCGCTGCTTCGTTCTGCCTGCTCACTACTTGGTATTCATCCCATGACATCAATCCTAGTCGATCCAAACCTCGTCGTCCACATGAGTCCCAAGAACGAAAGTGCCAGCTGGCCTGTGCCCAGCAGAATGAGCTTCTTCGCAAAGTCGGGATTCTTTTGAACGATCTCGTCCTTAGGACAAACTGCCATTGGAAAGGCCTCATAGGTCCTTCCTTCCTTCCTTCCTTCCTTTCGCAAAAACAGAATGCCTGATGGACAACGTTGTTCTTTCCAGTGCCACTGTAGGGTCACTAGTCACTAGGCAACCTCCTTTTCATGGGCATTTATACGGGATTGAGCTCGATCAGCTGCATGCCAAAGGCGAACTTGGGAGCCCAAATACCTTCTGCATCTTGTCACTTCGAACATGTTCAAGAGCGACGCTCCTGTACGCATGCACGCTGTTAAACCTTTTGCAAGTTGTTTTCCTTTCAACAAAAGAGGTGCATGGGGAAAATGATGCTCAAAGGTTTCTTCTTGCTCTGTGTTCCTGTCTTTGTGATCGTATTACTATCGTATCTCTTGGACCCTGACTCCACCCTGCAGCAGTTTTCTTGACTCATGTTGATTGCTTCACCGTCAGGTTTACATCAAAGCAAGCAAATAGTTCCACCAAACAGTTGGACATGCGGATGCACCTACCCCCAAAAGTGGGAAAACATCTTCCGTTGATCGTCACTTCCTTCTTCCCTTCCTACGCCCATCCCCTGCAGAGCAAAGCTTCTACTTCGTGTTGGCTGTGCTTCAGAATGGCCTCTCATGGTGCGGTCGGGCGACGGTGCAAACATCCCACGTACACACTCCTAGTAACAGGTGCCTTACTAGTAGTAACAATTAGAATTCTAATTAATGCAAGAGTTCCACTCGAAAACCCGGAATTTGTTGGGCCATCCGAGGCGTGAGACATTGAGGAGGCTTATGGTTGTTTGTCTCAATCGGTCTAAGCTACGACGACCCACATTGGCAGGTGTTGTCCATCAAGCGGATAACTTGATGCTAGAAAATCCTGTGACCTGGATACCTCTCCCTAGTCTGATCCACATGTCGCAACGGCCTTTGCCTCACCAAAGTCATTCAAACAACAGTAAAGGAACAAGGACAAGGAGAACTATGGAGAACTATCGCCCGCATTTTCATATTGATACCCTATTCAAAACCCGATCACAGAATAGAACATGTGAGGTTCCAGGCCTCCCGCTCGAGGGTCAGGAGATGCCAGCACGCCTGGTGGACTTGCCATACCGGAGGAAGACATCAAATTAAGAATGGCCTTCGATCCCTTGCTCTTTTAATTAAAGTCTATAGCTTCTTATTCTTTCTAATAGCTTCTTGTTACTACTAGTAAGGCCCTTGCTCCTAGTAGCGATGCCCTTTGCTCCTAGTAGCGTCCTCTTGCTCCTTCGATCCCATGCACAGCACCTTCGCACACGACGATTGTGACCTCGTTCTTCGAGCAGAATCTCCCCGTGAAAGTGGGAGAATGATATGGTGACATGGTGGAATCTTCCCAAACCGCAAAACTGATTCTGACGCAGAACCATACGCCATCTCTGGCCATCTCTCATTCTTTCACAGGGCCAACTTGTACAACCTGCTTTCACCCGCAGAACTGGAATCCATCATAGCGCCACCAACCGGGTAACCAGAATAGGAATCGTTTCGGATAGCTACCTTCCAGTTTCAAGAATTCACATCGCAGCCAATGGCGTTCGGGAACGTGACGAGCAAAACGAGGCTGTTCGGCACCGTGGCACAGCAAAACCTTGCTGCTCATACACCGGCACATGCAGTCGTCTGGACACTTTGGCCCACTTCTCTAAATGGGATCCGCCAGGCTTGAGGCCTAAGCCAAACGAGGTTCCACTGAATTGGAGCGACCCAAAGCGACCGTTAATCAATGTTCCTCACCAATCTGAACAGCTTGGAGTCCCTTGATGCACTTGTTACGAGTAGCTTCTTGTTCCTAGTAGTAAGGCCAGGAGCCCCTAGTAGCTTCTTGCTCCTAGTAGCGATGCACTTGTTACTAGTAGCTTCTTGTTACTAGTTTAGTGGCCAACCTCTTGAGTCTCCTTTGTGGGTGCCACACCCAAATCTACCACACACTGGCAAAGCATCGAATGGCATACCTCTCCCTCTTGGATTCCAGGTCTAATAAGTCTAGGTTCTGCTTCAGCTCGGAGAGAAATGCCAAGGACCTCTCTCCAGCCACAGCAAACAAAAGAATAAGCTAGCATCAGCTAGCCTCAGACTCCCATCCCTTAAAATCCACAGCATCCGACCATGTCGATGTTCTAGGCTCTTGTTGAGCATAGGGCACAAAGAACGCTTCTTCTCAACAAGTTTGTAGTAGAACTTGTAGAGCAGTCTTCATTACTCTCCACCAATTGGACCCTGACGAACCGATGGCAGTGTCTTACGGCCCAGCATTCTACAGTCAATCCAAAGGTGACCATCGCTTACTCCATGGCGGTTGCAACCTGGCGGACCATCACTTACTCCACTTCCTACGGTTTCGGAGCCACATGATTGAGGATAGGAAGCTCGTCCATATATAAACCTCCATTCACGGTAGTAGGTCAGTAGCAAGAGCTTCCAAGCCCCCCAGCAGGGTCTGAAGTTTGGCTTCAAGGACTTCTGCAAGGGCTAGGGAGGAGCGACTAGGAGTCAGATGTGAACCGGAAGTCACTGCAGCTCTCAGCGCTTCTTCTTGTCCTTCTTGGACTCCTGGAAACCGATCGACCTTTCAAGGCTCAAAGCCCCCCTGGGCAAACCAAGCCCTGATTTCCCACTTAACTCTGCAAGCCTGTACCATATGGAATTGTGTTCGGTGCGAGAACCCCCCTTTGGCAAAATGCAACATGATACAACACCTATCGAACAAGAAACAACTCTCCCACACCCTCATCGTCGTCATCTGCATCGGAAATCACTTCTCCTTCTTGGACTCCTTCGTTGTCACCTTCTTCTCCGAGGACCGCAGGAAAAAGGCTCCTGCTGGAGGCAAACAGGAGAGCAACATCCATTCCCGAGCTTCATCGGCTCTATAGATCACTCGAATTTTGTTAAACAGGTGTGAATTTTTGGAGGCCCAAGAACGAGAAGTCCTGACGGTCCATCTTACCCCGCCTCTTCATATGTCCAGGATTACTCAACTACCCCAACCCGGTAGATGTTCATAACTGCATCTAGAACATTCACCCAACACATTCAGCGACCAACGAAGGGCCTGCAGCCACCATGGCCAAAAGGAAGACCAGGACCAAGGCCAAGAGCCAGTTGTCTCCGCTGACAGGTCCTCGGTGCGTCGGGCGTCGGATGCCAAAACTGAACCCGCCTATCCCAAGGTCAATCCGTTCCAAGAAAATCTCCACAAGCACTAGGAACAATTTTCGCTACTAGGGGCTCCTGGCATCGCTACTAGGAGCAAGGACGCTACTAGGGGCTCCTGGCCTTACTACTAGGAACAGGGATGCTACTAGGAGCAAAGGGCATTTCTACTAGGAACAAGAAGCTACTAGGATTTGTTTCTTGTTTGAGGTCCTTCAATCTGGCGTGAGATGACACTTTCTTCAGAAAGGCCTCCAACGAGGCCACAGGGGTGGTCATGGATGCGCAAATCTTCTTGATCCAATCAGTGGGATTTGGTGCATGGTCATTGATAGACTAACATCTTGCTTGGATGGCAAACGCAGTAAATAATACACAAGATGTGGATTCATGTAAAACGAAACAGAACCATCCTAAGCAGGGAAGCATGTGCCCCGCTTTTTGCGACCTACCGCATCAACATAGGCTTTAGCTCGGAATCCAATCCGTCATCAAATCAAGCTACCACGCTCAAAGGATTGTCGGGCTCCTTTGCTCTCTGTAGGGAATTTGAAACACCCCACTCTCTGCCCAAATTCTCCATCATGGCTCCCAAAAGGTCCCCTCTGGCCTAATCAAGAAGCTACTAGGAACAAGTGCATCGCTTCTAGTAACAAGTGCCTTATTAGTAGTAACAAGGACGCTACTTGTTCCTAATTTAATTCTAATTTAATCTAATGTTACTTTAATTTAACTATATTTATTTTAATTCCAATTTAGTTTAATTCTAATTTACTTCTAACTTGATTTAATTCTAATTTAACTTAATTCTAACTTAATTATGATTTAGTTTAATTTAATTCTAATTTGATTCTAATTTAATTCAACTCTAATTTAATTTAATTCTAATTTACTTCTAATTTGATTTAATTCAAATTTAATTTGATTCTAATTTAATTATGATTTAATTCTAACTTGATCTAATTCTAATTTAATTCTAATTTTATTCTAATTTAAATCAATTCAAATTGAACTTAATTCTTTAAAATTGATTCTAATTTAATCAAATTCTAATTTAAATTAATCTTAATTTGTTACTACTAGTAAGGCACTTGTTACTACTAGCGATGCACTTGTTACTACAAGGACGCTACTTGTTCCTAATCACTCCTTCTCCTCCAAGTGGCCCTTCGAAGATTCCATTTTCAACTGTGGCGCTTCTGTCGGCACAGTGCCATCGCCTGTGAGCGAGCTTGCGGCACGTGCAGAGAAAGGCCGGCATGACATGGATGAATGGTACCTAGCTAAAGCGAAAGCAACCGAAAACACAGAGAACAGCCAAGGTGAATCCGTTTGAAGCTGTTTGGTACCCGGTTCGTTTTCTAATGAGAGTTTGTTTGCAAGGACCAGGGACCAATCAATTTTGTTCTTTTCGCATCTTGTCTGCGACACCCCAGTAACCCATCCTCGAGTCACTGAGACCAGCTCCACCTCGTAAAGCACCGCTGTGTCCTTGACATCGGCAAAAAGCGTTTGTGCTGGCAAAACGGAACGGGGAGTGGCGTGGAGGTGCGTGCGTGTTGTGTTGCTTTGATGAACTGCCCAAACGTCTTGAATTGAAAGTAGTGATTCTCTTGAAGGGATATTGCAGCCAGCAGGACATGGTATTACAGGCCAAACCGACTTCCCAACAGATCCACTCTGCACACATTGTCTGGGGTGTAAGGACGGCTTTGACGGACCCAAACCAGCCATCCTTGATTTCCAACAGTTTTCTCTGAATCCAAACGTCAAGGACACGTATCGAAATGAAGCAGCAAAAGTAATGATATGAGACACAAAAGTGTTGGAATTTCTGGCCGAAAGCGTCTCCCTTCATCAGCTTCTATCAAGACTGCGTTCAGTCCCAGTGGCGTAGGGCAGGAAACCCGCACGAGTGTTGTAGGCCAATGGCCCTGGGATCTTCGCCCTCAGCTTCTCCTCAGTGGTGCAATGGCACGGCGATGGCACAGCGATAGCCTCCAACCTAGAAGCCTCCAACCTAATTGGGCAGCGTAGTCTGGTACTGCTTGTTTGGTGTGACCGAAAAAAGATTGGATGTCTTCGCTATCTGTAGGCTCCGACTTGAATGATTTTCTCACTGGGACAATCGACCCTTCATTCATGATACAGTGGGCTGAAAAAGGAGCTGGTGCAATGTCATGAGTGCAATGTGGGGACCTGCCACACACTTGCAGTACAAAGCATGATGATGGACGCAACCTCAAACGAAGTCTGGAGAAAGGTTCCGTGAATTTTGCCCAAAGCTCTAACCATTCTTCTCATTACTGGAATTAGTTGATTTCTTCTGCGTGAGAAACACTTAAACTCAAAGTGAAGCATGAACCACCCAGTTCCTTTTGGGCCCTAGGGGCTCCTGGCCTTACTAGTAGGAGCAAGGACGCGACTAGGGGCTCCTGGCCAGTTCTTTTTGGGCCACGGTGCTTCCTTTTTTCTTCGCCGAGGCTCTCCGGTGCACATCTCCCGCAGAACCGCCTCCAGTCCAACAATCAGCCGAGGAGTGCCGAAGGTGAACTCCAAAGGCTTGTCCTCCTGACAAGCGAATTCAGAAGAAGAAACACCTAATAAAGCAACATGAACATTGAATTGAACATATATACTTAAGAAGCATAAAGGCCCTTATCACGCCCTCTATCGACCTTCCTTTTTAAAGTTCTATTGCCCCTGGCTGTTGACCTTTTCTTGATCATCCTGAAGCACATCGTAGAGTTTACTGTGTACTTCATTTAATACTGTGTTACTGCAGTTAGGATTCATGTCCAAACTGATAGTTTTCGACACTTCCACAATTTTCTTGATCCCGCTATCTGATCGATGTCCTTCCCTGTCAACTCGTCTAACTAAGCTTCGACACCCACACAAACGTCGCGTTTCTCAGAACAAAACTTCTAGTTTAGGTGAGCTCCTCACATTCGCGTGAGTGCTTTCTTGGGAACCTCTCACAGCTCCTTCGTCTTCTGATCGATGTTGGAATCCATCTGCATGCCCACCTCACCAGTGACCGACACCGGGGAGCCAAAGAAGGACTGTCTCCGCAGATCCTGATGATGGCATCAACCTCTTACCACTTGCAGAACTTGTAGTGCTCCATTCTTTCATCAACATCAGCAGTGTTCCAATTTCCTCTGCATATCAGTTTGTTTGCAGATTGGTTTGTCCAACTTGTCCCAGCACAAGTTGCTTTTGCCTTAGAATTGCCCAACACATCGAAACGAACGTCGATTCATGTCCATGAAGAAATTCTATGCTTTGTGCGGCCCGATGTTCGACCCCACCCCACGCAGTCCGGGCCAAAACTGTCTGACCTGAATGGGCCGCCCCTGCCCGTCGGTGGTCTTTCCTTCTGGCAGTTCTGCGATGAAACCTGAGCAAGGACGCTACTAGGGGCGCCTGGCATCGCTACTAGGGGCAAGGATGCTACTAGGTTGGAGTTGATCGACCCGAGGGTGTGCTCTGCGCCTTTGTTGGGAACTTGCCGTTTGATGTTACTGTGATCCCTAGCTGTAGCCTATAGGTGATTCTGATGGGCTGCGAAGAGCCTTTGCTTTCAAGCGCTGATATTAGAGGTATTGTGGGAATCCCAAAGAGGTGGCTGACAGATCGAGGAAAACGGAAGCAGCGCTTTTGAGGGTCCAAGTTAGTCCTGCAGCGAAACCGAAGGATCCGATCAGAACCAAAGCGAGTGGCCTTTGTGGCGAAAGGCCACCTGATCCCCATCGCGGCCTTGCTGGCAATCCTCAAGCGGCAGCATTGAGTGACAACGACGGTAAGCTGGCAACCGAAAACGAAAGTGGTTCTCCAAAAATCCAAAAAGTGGGAAGACGCCGTCCTTTCTTTAGGAGCAAGAAGCTACTCGGAACTAAGGGCATCGCTACTAGGAGCACGGACGCTACTGGGGGCTCCTGGTCTTACTAGGAGCAAGAAGCTACGAACGGAGCTTTCACAAAAACCTTGGGAGGATACGCCCTGATGTAGTTCGGGTCCGGGTAGCCGAATGCTCAGTCAGCCACTCGATGTCGAGGTGAGAGCGGATGGACGCCCAGTCCCTCTTCCTGCGGAGACCGCCCAAATTCATTGCACTCAAGGCAGCTAGCTCATGTTACTACTAGTGTGGCACTTGTTATTACTAGCTTCTTGTTACTACTAGTAAGGCACCTGTTACTACTAGCGT